GGGTGGGGGATGCCCTCCTTGGGGCCACAAACAGGTTTCAAGGCCAAGCACACCTACAACACGCATGATCAAAGTTCCAGCCAGATCCTGGCCTGGCAGGGTCCAGATTTCTCCAAGAACAGCTTTTCAGGCCCAGGGAATATGCCTGGCTCAGCAGAATGCTTAATCCCTCGGAGGCCGCCTGGCTTCCTTGGCCCTGCTGAGATAACAGGGCTCTGGCACCGCGAAAGCCAGGCGCTGAGGCAGGAGTATCGGCGCTGGGGTTGGGGAACGCAGCCTCGCGTGACTTCTTCTCCGCCATTTACCCAATGTGTTCCCAGAATCCCTCACAACGTTCCCTCGCCCTGGGCCCCCGTGGGGCACCCCAGGCTGTGGTTTGGGCTCCTACGCTCAGCACTCTGGGCTGGGCCCAAGGGCTGCCGAAATGCGTATGACAAGAGCGCCACCTGGTGTCTCCACAGCCCAGCGGAGGCTGCCTTGTCCTTAGCCCCAAGGCTTAAACAAATAACCTTTGCTTCTTACCCCACTCCCATCCACTGCACGTATCACCTGCGTTTTACACTGTGTCCCTCTGCCTGGGGCTCCAACAGTCATTCTTACCCCAGAGGCCTGGAATCCATAACCTTGATATCTGCCTGGGCTGGGACACAGCCACCCTCTGAGGGCCATGAGCGACTGGCCGGCCATCTGCTAAAGCACACAACTCCTCCTTACCTAACGCTCTCATCAAGCATCCTTTCCTCCTGGAAGATATCACCATCCCATATACATGGCTCTTTGAGTCACACACTTCTCTCCTTGTCCATATCTCTAGGCTGGGCACATGCCTGCCTCTTCCTTGCTGTCTCCAACACCATCTGTGGCCACGAGTCTAAAGGAAGCCTCTAGACGCAGCCAGTTCAAACCCTAGAAGGTATGACCTCCAGAGGCCGGCAAGTGAGGACACAGCTTTGTTACAAAGTGGAGGAGAGAGTGATGGCTCAGCAGTTAAAAGCCCTTGCTGCTCTGGCAGAGGTTCCAAGTTTGGATGGGCATCCATATTGGACAGTTCACAATCGTCTATAACCCCAGCTCCAGGAATCTGCCACACCCTCTTCTGGTTTTTGTGGGCACTGTACACACACACACACACACACACACACACACACACACGTACACTCATACAAAGAATGTGGAAAAGACAAATGGGAAGGCCAAAGCTGAGGCTGATTCTCATTCCTACACTTTACAGATGGGGAAACTGAGGCTCAGGGGAGTCCCTGTGGGGCATGCCTGGTAACAAGACTTAACAAGAAGGGGGTTGTATATATACAATTTTTGGATATACAAATTTGAGCAGCTGGAATGCTGAGCCTCCTTGGCACAGTGGAAAGGTGTGAGAGAGATGTGAGCCTACTCACAGAATCCTGTCAGACCCAGGGTGCCCAGAAAAGAGCAGTGTTCCAGAAGGGAGTGTGCAGAGCTGACCAGAGGTCAGTCCTAATAGCAGAGAATCAACTCTGCTGGGCACAGCGCCTGTGCAAAGGCCCTGAGGCAGTTGAGAGTGAGTGATGAGGAGGGAGGGGAGGATTGGAGATGGGGGGTACTTAAATGTGTAGCACTCTGAGGACCATGAAAGAGAAGTTGGAAAATATCTCAAACCACCCAGGGAGCATCCGAGACACTTAAGGTTGTTCTATAAAGTCTCTCCCTAGTTGTTGTGGGGCAGGAAGAGTCCAGGGAATGGGAAAGGGACAAAGGAGGTAATGAGGTCGCTGCCCTCACTGCAGTGGACAAAGAGCCACTTCTGGGAAGCAGAATAGACTGGGGCGGGGCCGCCTTCGGAGTAGGGACCTGCTCACACAGAGGGAAGGGACTGGGGGGAGTGGACATCACAAGGTCCCACCCACACTCGCCTTGGCTCTGGGGCAGTAGGATCTATGTGGTGTGCAATTCCAAGAGTAGCCACCAGATGGTGTACAGGCCGCAGAAAGAGCCTAGCTTGAGGGAGGCAGCAGAGGCCACCAGGAGAGGGCGCCTAAGTCAGAAGTTACTGTGGATGGGAGAGAGGGGCGACAATCACCCCAAGTCTGGAGCTACCAGATGAGGAATGGAGCATGTATTCATGAGTCCACACACAAAAAGACACATATTGACACATGAACATATAGTTACATATGAAAACACTGTTTACACATAGGCATGAACATAGCTGCAGATGCACAAATCAGTATGAATAGGTACACAGGTATGCACAGGCAGACACGAAATCAAATACATGTAAATGTCCTCTCACACATGTACTCAGGCCAAACACACACATGCTTAGAGACACAGCTGTATACAGGAAGGTGTCCATCTGAATACACGGGTACATGCTTGTGTGAACACATTCTCATGAATGCATACACAAATGTGTGCTTGGAGACCTTCCAGGGGAATGTCCTGACAGTCAGGCCCTGCTCAATATGGGAACAATCAGGGACTGTTGGCCCAGGCTCTCCAGACCAAGTCCCAGGCCAAGGACTCCAGAACCCTAGCTCCTTGGGGAGGAACCTGGGCCATACCCTTCAGCAGCCACCAGATGCTATGTCCTCTCACAACACAGTCGGAGACCAGGCCTTTCCTGTGTGACAGCCATTTCTGTAGTAGGCAAGGGAACAATCCTGAGAAAAACCTATATGGATATCATCACACATAAGACCAAGGAACCCAGAGCCCTCTTGCCGCATGAAAGGATGTAAGGGTCCTGTAAAAATCCCCAACAAAATAGAAAAGCTCCATTGGACAGGTCATGAAAGCTTATATTCTGGGACTGAGAGGTGTCACCCAGGAAAATGAGGCTGGTTGGCCAACACATCTAAAGAGATGCCAGCTAAGATTTGACAGTCAGGGGGTGGTGGCATACGCCTTAATCCCAGCACTCAGAAGGTAGAGACAGGCAGATCTCTGTGAGTTTGAGGCCAGCCTGGTCTAAAGAGCGAGTTTCAGGACAGGCTCCAAGCCTACAGAAAAATACTGTCTTGAAAAACAAAAACAAAACAAAAAAAATTGATAGCATCCTTCCTGCCAGTCAAATGGAACCAACTAGGAACAGGTTTACTGTGTACTGACTGGATGTTGCTTTTGGAAAAGTCCAAGGAACTGACCCACACTTGAAGCCTGGTGATCATAGGTACAGGCACATCACAGGCTGAGGCCCACAGTGAAAAGTATCAGAAGTCACCCTCTAGTGACTACAACTTTCAATAATGTGCCTTTCCATGTTAGCAGCTGCCTAAACCACATGCAAAACCACCAGTGACCCCCACAGAGGCAGGTACACCACTGCCTGGCACCACAGCCATGTGGGTATCCCCAGCATAGTGAACATAGGGTGCATCCTGGGTTGTATGCATTGACTTTCAGGCTGGGATGGGGGCATGAAATATGCTACAGATTCTACTACAGGGTGCAGGATCCCGGCCAGATGAACCCTCCAGTGGCCTGTGGAGAAGAACTTGGTACTTCCAGGCAAGCTCCATGTCTGATTTGGGCTACAGTGAAGACACGCATCCTATGGTGGGGGGAAAGGGGGTCTTTGGGGCAACTGGCACTCTGTGCTGGAAAGTTAGGGGTAAGACGGAGCAGTGCCTGCCCACACTCTGGTGGAGACTCCCAAAGCCATTGACAGTATCACCATGACTGCTCAAACCCAGAGAAGAAGACATCACATTCAGGCCAGAAACAGAGACCTCTACGACTCAGGAAAGAAATATTTCTTGTGGCTCAAAATCTAGAAGCAATAAAGGAAAGATAAAGTTGACACATGAAATATGTGTGCCACTGGGCAGCAATCACTGTGACTCAAGATCTAGCAAGACAAACTTTCCCAGCTGACAGAGGGAACTGAGAAACACCTAAGGTGAAGGACAGCTATCTGTGATCACTGCTCCCTACTAGGTTCGGGAACATCCTATCACAAGAGGAAAACACAAATGCACGCAAGCAGAAAGACGTTAGGCTGCGCCTTTCTAGGCTTTAGCACCGGTCATCATCTTGTGCCCACAGCCATGCTGCCCAGCCTTCCCAGCAGCATCATAACTGTTTCTAAAGTGCACTTGGCCTCACATCTGGCCCAACAGTGAGTGGTGATGCACTGGTGTTCTGCTGTCATGGCAACTGGCTCCAGGCTCTGGACAGCCCTGCCAGACAGGGTCTGCCTCAGTTGCAATATCCGACCCTGGCCCTGTCCCAGGGCTCACAGCTGCCAGATAAACAGTCCTTCGGTCCCTTGGAGCATGTGGATTCACGTACTACACAGTATCCTGAAGGCACAGTTGGGTCCTCACATAGGGTAGGGTCACACGGGACAGTCCCCAAGTCTCTCACATTTTGTAGATCACACAGGACAGTTCCCAGGCTCCTCAGAGAGTGTGACTAGACCCTGGCATTTGGGAATTCCACTCTTCAAACTTTCCACAGGTTACTCTATGCTGGGACGGGGGCGTGGGAGATATGCCCCAAGCCTGGCCTGCAGAGGAGACCCAAGCTATGTACCAAGGTAGTTGTGGTACCCATTAGGACTGCCATGGTGGTCCTGCCAGGAATGATGCACGAAAGTCTCCTGGGCTGAAGTGGGGTCCCACCTTGATGACAGGGGTAGACTCTTGTCTGGAACACTTGCAGGGCTCATGAGTCAGTAGTAACACACACAATCATCACTCAGCCCTAGGCACTGCCCCCCACCCCCCACCCCTCAGTGCTATGGTGCCCATTTCCTCCTGTCTTGCCTCTGGGCCCATTTTGGAAGTTTCCCATACAAAGGCTTTTCTGACTACCTACTCCAGGTCCCTTATGTTCATCCTGCCCTCAACACACAGCCCAGAGCCCTGGCAGGCATGGATGCAGGGGAATTGCCCTATCTGATACCCCAGTACCAGGGTGGTGGAGACCAGGGTTGACGCAACTTTACCCAGCCCTCCTTCACCTCCTCCATTCACACTGATGGCATTTACTGATGGCCCTGGGTGCCTACATACCATCCAGAAGAGGGTCCCGGTGGCCAGAGCGGCATACTGTTCAATAGTGGACAGGACACTGAAGATGAGGCAGACCAGAACAATGAGGAAGCTGTGAGGACAGGGGATATATGGTCAGTGCCTGATCCAGCTGCCCTGCCACCGCCCTCCTTCCCGACACCCCACATGCAAGATCTTTAGTGCTAGCAACTCCAAGTATACCTCAGTTAGTGCAATCACACATAGGGTACATGGAATGGAAGCCACTGACCATCATGAGGACTGACCCCAGCTTGGTGTCTCAGTGTACATAGACCTTGAAAATGCCACACTCTGTGACCACCCCATCCCATCCCAAGATCATCTGTCACCTGACTGCTCTGGACCAGCAGCCAATCCACAGAAATGTCACATAGCCTTGTGGCCATGGCCATGGGGAGGCAGACAATGGGTCAGGGTCTCCTAGGAGGCTTGGTGGTCCAGCCTCAGAGTGTCCAAGAACCTTGGTGTACAACTGAAGCTCAAAAAAGCCATTTTTAGACACTGGGGGCCCTTCACGCCCAGGAGTTCAGAAGGGTACATTCCCTCAGTTAACGGGGAGATCTAAGAAAAAAGGGCCAAGCACAGCCACTACCTGTACCCTGAGGGCACCCAGAAGGCACAGCTATCACATGGAGACCATGGTTTCCACCTGCTCTGATTCCAAGGGCACTGAAAGATAAGTCTCTCTTCCACTGAGCTTCCCATCCCTGGGTGTCACCATCCAATGTGGCCTTCAAAGTTTCTCCCACTTTAGGGACAAGGTAGCAGAAAGAGAGATGCTGAGGGGAGTGCTCCAAAGACTCTGTATGCCATCATGGCAGATTCTTGGGGATCAGAATGGAAGTGGGGAACTGACACATTGTCCCAGGGTTACAAGAGGGGAAGACAAAGAAGCCATACACAGAGACATCCGGGCCCCAGAACAGACCCCTGCCCACATCAAGGAATTCACACACCTTCCACCAATCCCATATCCCGTTTTCTCAATAAGACCCAGGCCACCAGCCTCAACCTCCCAGAGGCCATGCAACAGCAACGGCCTGACTCGACCACAGAGTTTCCTGAGTGAGGCACAGCTCAGATCTGCACCTCGCAAGACTGAGTCCATCCAATCCTGGCCTCTGGAGCCACCACTAGAGGCCTGGAGGACTGACAGAGCCAAGGGCCCCACTTGCTACCCATTGCCCCCCTCCACCTGCCCTGCCAGGTCAAAGCCTCCCTCATGACAGACACTTCATTTGTCGTGACCGCTTGCTCCCCCATGCAGAGAACATCCCAGTCTCCTCTTTACCCCAGCCCAGATGCCCACTCCACCTTCATCTCCCCCACATCATGCCTAGTGTGATACAGCAGTGGACCTAGTCCTGGCTCCTGGTCCCTCCTTCCAGGTCTTGAGGACCTGCTGCCACTGCCCTACCTGGAGGCAAGGACTCAGGCTCCTGCAAAGTGGTCCCATCTCATGTGCAAAGTTACTCTAGTACCCGCTCTGTCCCCCTGTGCCACCTCAATCACAACACTTGAGGCGAAGCATCTCTGCCAAGCCCTAGTGCCTGCAGTCACCCCCAGTCAGTGAGCGTCTTTGGAACAAGTGCCTAGCATAGGACCTGGTATACAGAGATCTCAGTACCCCAACACATACACACCTCTATTCAATACCAAGCTTCTGCACCTCTCACTGCACCTATGGTAACCTCGTGTCATGGTAGGCAATAGCTTCAGCTGGCACTGATCCCTGGCCACCATCCACCCCAGGATGCTCACCTGGAGCACACATCTGATTTTGCCCTGGAAGAACCCCTGAGTGGGCTTCAGCCCTTGCCACTCCACAGACTGAGGCCTTCTCTCCCACCGTGCATTCCTCACAGGCCTAGAGCTCTGGATGTAGCCAATCTCTAACACCTTGGCACCCAGTGCTGCTACCAGAGACTGTTTTCTCTCATCCATTCTCCACATTGCCTCAGCCCTGAGGACCCTCCCAGGGCAACACAATAGGACACCAGGTCCTCCTAGGTCCCCCAGTTGTGTTCCTCCTGGCCAGCAGTAACCACGCTGATTGTTATGCCCATGTCTGACTCCTGACTGTAACTGCATGGCATTGACCATGAAAGGCTCTGTGAGATGAACCAGCCATGTGGGTCATCAGGAAGCCTTGGCTCCTACGGGCACAGCAAACACTGGGTGAGGTGAGCACCTCTCTGCTGCCCATCCACAGGTTAGACCTCCATTTAGGCCTGCTGGAGAGGTCTGGCTCTTCGTCATGGATCCCCAAGTGCTTCTTGAGCCCCTTGAGGCCTTTGCAGACTTGGTTCCCCTCTGGCTAGGCTCTCTTCTCAGAGTGACTCATCACACAGTGGGGCCTCACTAATCCTGGGTGTGAGTTGTTTTGACTTGCAGCAGGCAGGGAAGTGGGACTGGGTTCATCCCTCAACAACAGAAAGTAGAATAGATGCCCCACCCCCAGACCATTGGTTACACATGGAGCCTGAAGAGGGACCAGCATGAAGAGACACAGCCCCTTCTGGCCGCCCCTCCACAGTGAAAAAGCCAAGCAGCCCCCACTTCAGATTCCCCATTGACCCAGTAGGAGCTTAGAGACACCCTCTCATAGAGCTACAGTTGACAGCACAGTACATACCTCAGGGGCTCAACACCTAGAACTGAGGTGGTAACTTTATCCCAAGGTCTTCTGCCCCCAAACTCCTGGTGTCACCACACATGATAAAAACCTCCTGCTACCCTGAGCACCTTAAGGCCCAATGTCAAGAAATCCTCTCAGGGCACTATGTGGCCAGGTCTACTCACTTATCACCTGACCAAGGCTTGACAGAGAGTACCACCAGACCCACAAGAACCTCACAGGTCACAGTGTTACCGTGCTGGAATCCAGCTATTTCTGAGGTTCCTGGGGATCTTTAGGTCACTCAAGTTGAGCCATGGAGGTGACAATGATGTTGTTCTTAATGGAATTTTGATTCTTTCACTATTAGGGTAACAACTCAGTCTTTCAAACCCTGTAAGGTAGCCTTGGCTCCAAGATGGGATACAATAGCTACAGAACTTGAAAATCAGAGAGCTTATATGTAGCAAGGGAGTACAGACCTTCAAATAGGCTATGGAAGGAGGAATGGCTGCCATGGGCCACTCTGCCCATGACTGCAGGAGGCTCAGGACCCCAGGAGGGCAGCAGCAGTTGCAGCCTGTGGTTAGAAAATTTCAACAGCCTGGAAGAGTTATCAAAACAAGGGGGCTGTGTGGAAGGCCCCTTACTCTCTGACTACTCCCACCTGGCAGTAGGAAAGGTCTGGACACACAGATCAACCCTGGGGTAGAGGTGCAGAACTGCTAAGTGCCCAGTGCAGACAGAAAACCACCTCTGCTCCAGACGGGTGGCAGAGGCTAGGTGACACACCCACCACAACTAGCCCAAGCTGACCTGCCCAGGAACCTTGAGGTTGGGGACAACGGTGGCAATCTGCCCCCACGTGCTGGCTGCCTTTTACCTTCAAGTATTCCGAAAGCTAAACAGTTCTTCAAATATTTGAACACATTGTGCTGCCCAAGAAAGGGTTATACGGCATAGTTTACTTTATATCTACTCCCGATAAAATGAATATTATCTTATTTGCTACTTTATCTGTTCCTGTCCTGGGTGGGGCTGGCAGCCTCAGAAAGACCACACCAAGGGTTTCTGCCTTTGGGGGAGCTCACAGGCCAGCTGCCCATCCCCTTCCTGCCTTTATAGCATCCCTCTACCCTACCTTTGTTACCCCAGAACCCCAAGGTCAGGCCATGAATCATAAGATGCCCTCTCCACTTTGCCTACCAGGAGCAAGGCAAACTAAGGCCCAGGAAAATACCTGTGTCCCTGAATACAAACTAGCATGCTCCTAAGAGAGTTCACTGTGCAGGGTATGAAACAGGGGGTTCCTGGGAACAATAGACTGCTTTTTCTACTTGCTCTAAATCAACTCATCAGCCGTGACCGCAGCCCAGCCCTGAGGGACGGCCAATACCTTATCGGACATCACTTCAATATCTCTGTGCCCAGGTGCCCTGGGAACACAGAACACGGCATCCAGCCAGCACCACGTGGCTGCCCCAGCAGGAGGCATAGGGGTACAAGGGACAGGGACATGCACAAGCCAGCTATGGCAAATTGGGGCTATGACTCAGATCTCCTCTATACATACCAGGTCCCTGGCCAGTAGCTGATCCATGAGAAGCCAGGGCTGGGCTTAGAACCCTGGGTACCAGATCCACTCAGCATAGGCCTGATAGTGATACTATCCCCAGTCCACAGCCCTTCATCATCCCATTGTGAAGGGCTATGCTCTATATACACACAGGGTCTGTTCCAGAAAGATTGACCTTCAGCCTAGCCATCATCAAATCCCCAGGACCTAAAATGTAACACTGAAACATCTCAGGAAACCCTGAGTCCTTATATCTGCATGCATGATAATAGCGTAAAGTGCCCTGAAAGTATTGTTAGTTTGGAGGGGGTTGGAAATGTCATACACAAAAGGTCACTAGGCAGGGGTGGACCTTGAAGACACTTGTTGAGATAAGCCAGGGATGAGAGGACACATATTTCAGGAAGCTTCTCTTCAGAGGCCCCTGGAGTTACCAGATCTGCAGAGACAGAAGACAGAATTGGGAGCCAGGGGCTGGGAGCAGTTTCAGTCTAGAAAGATAGTTCTAGAGGTGGGAATGGCCACACATTCTATGAGTGAGCATCACACCTCTGATAGAAGCATACATGCACAGACAGCACCTGTGCTTCATCTTGACTAAAATAGATTTAAGAAAGAAAACCAGGGCCTGGAGAGATGGAACCGTGGCTAAGAGCACTTGTTGCTCTTCCAGAGGACCAGAGTTTCAGTTCCCAGCACCCATGTTGGGTGGCTCACAACTGCCTTTAACTCCAGCTTCAGGGGACCAGATACTCTTATTTGACCTCTCTGGGTGCACTCATGCATGCACGAGACACGCACATCCAAATTACAAAAGAACACCAGGCAAATCGCTTTGACAATGGAACATGAGCTGGTCAAACACACAGGCCACGGG